TATATATATATATATATATATATATAGTATTGGTAGGAATTGTTTATGTTTAGTAACCGTTACCATAGTAACAACATCGGGATGATCACTTGTTTCTGATCTACTCCGAGCGTGCGTGACATATCAGTCAGGAATTGCCAGGTGCGACCAACCGATCGACGTGCACGCTCCTTTTACGTAACATACGCGCCGCGATATTTCGCGGGAATCGCTGATGATCGGTTGGTCGTGCCTGGCGCCGTGTAAATATGGGTGTGTATAATTTTAGAATGCATCAGTCAATCAGTCAGTCACGATCCAACGCGGTTCTGTACCAGAAACAGAGACAGATAGAAAGAGAAAGAGAGAGAGCGAGACAAAATTTATCTTCTGGCAGTCAGTGATGACGTAGGTCGTGTCTTAGTCCGCGCGAAGACGTTGTTTGCCGCGATCGCGAACGCCTACGCGCGTAATATAGTGCCGATAGATTGAAAAAAGAGCCAAAAACGGTCACAGTTTTTTTTTAAACTGTAATACGATTGAACACACGCACACCCACGACATCTAATCAAATCCTAGCGTTGTAGTGGTTTTTACCTGACTTCCGGTCTGTGTTCAGCGTACCGGAAACGTGTAGCACTTCCGTTTTGGGCTTCCATCTGTCTTCCGGTTCACGGTGGTGACCCCGCGCGCGTGACCCCGCGCACGTGACGTGCACGTGACGCGGGGCGGAGCGCGAGCGTTGTTTCGCGGGAAAAAATGGCGTAATAATAAATTATGTTTTAACCAATTATATATATACATGCAACGTTTTTTCTTTCTTCTTTTTTGTATTATTGCTAAAAAAAAGAAATATTTAATGTCCTCGCTTGTAAATCTCACTCAAACAGCAAAGTTTTCGAACCCGGATTTGCGAAACAAGAACAAAAACAGAACATTGAGAAGTAAAACAATATGGAAGCCAATATGTAATCGAGAAAAACCACGTGATTCGTTCATCACGTGACTTCAGCCAGCGGAATGAATATTATAACACGTGATGCAAGTATGATGTTCTTTCTATATCTATTTATATATATATATATATATATATATATATATATATATATATCACGCACACACGTCTCACACACACTAACATACACACACACACACACACGCACACACACACACACACGCCCCCGACTCACACACGCTGATATGGGATTCCCCGCTCTCCCACATTAAGTCTGGTTGCACTTATAAGTGAGTCTGGCTGTACGCACTACATACGCTGCCGTTACTTAATGAATTACATTAGACGCACGAACGCGCGTACAAACATATCAACTCTCGTGTATCATTCACAGACCGACGATAACCGAGGATACACTTATACACACACACGCGCGCGCGGGCGCGCACGCATGCAAAGAAACAGACACACAGTCACAAGCACACGGGATGCTACCACTATTATGTATATATA